AAAATGCCAATCTAAATAACTGGTGAAATTTTCATGTATCTACGACATTCTCGGTTACACTAATTTCAAATTTGCTTATACTTTATTTGAAATAAATATATTTTTACATATTCATCATTAGGATGCCATCATACTATAATGTTAGTTACATGTTTAACAAAAATTTTTAATAATTATTATTATTGTTATTTTTGAACAAAATGATAATGCCATGACGACAAAGCCTAAAATTCGTTTATATAAATCTTACATTTAATTATTATAATTATATTATATTCTAATATAAAACTATTACTTGTAATCAAGGTGGATTTATAAATGGATTATGAATTAATTTAATTATTATTTTTTTTATTATTATTATAATTTATTAAATTAATTAATTTAATTAATTAATGAATTATGGATTTATAAATCCACCTTGCTTGTAATCTTTTGTGGTAAATATTTTGAAATCAAGACCCAATTCGCTAAATGTATTCAAAAATATATACCTAATCTGCATGTCAGTGAAATTGGTTCCTCAACATTACCTGATAGATTCATACAACTTGTAAATGTCTTAAAAATTAAATTTAATAATACAKCAAAAAACTAAAAAGCGTTTAATTAAAAAACAGTTGTTTATTTTTTAAAACCATTTCAAAGAAAAAGGAACTTCACAAGCTGCCCGTACAGCCATCCGATAAAATTTATCAGATAAAAAAAATGYATTTATTTATGATTACTAAAAACCAATTTTCAATTAATAACAAATTACTAACACATTTTTTAATAAATTAGATAATGACTTACTATAATAGGATAACTGTTCAGACAACTATTCCTCAGCTAGTGGCTTGCATTTTTAATTTTTTAGGAATGTATAATTATATATATATATTATACTAACATGTTATCCAGCCTTCTAAATTCGCTGCATGTTACTACTTAGTACTTAATCATAACAACTCATTCAACTTTCCAGTTAAAGTTACATAGCTTTTGATCAATGAGATTGGTTTCCCGAAAGTAAAATTTATAAAACTTTGACACGTAATTGATTATAATATTAAAAAAATTTATGTTTGGGGCTGATAATTTTGAGTATTGAGAAATAGTTGTTTAATGGAGGCAGTTACAAAATGTTAAACATACATAAGCACGTTTTTTTTTTTATAGCCATTTAAAGTTCAAATTTGGCAAAATGTATTTAATTGAAAATTTACAAATTCTTTAGTTGTTAAAAATTTATAAAACGTTTCACACTTATAGCTAAGGATCGAAAATGTAAGGCAAAGTTCTACGTAAGTAATTAATTCTGCAGTAAACAAAATCTTAAAACTATACAAACACAGTTTTATTTTATAGTTATTTAAAATTCAAATTTGGATGAAATTACAACTAAATAATCAAAATATCTTGAGTACCTATACTTTATAATCTAATTTTAATAGTTAATGTCATCAATGACTTATATTAATAGTTAACAATACATTGTATATATACTATGGATGACTGAGTGAATCGGGTACATGATGATTCTGATTTGATCAATTCGAAATTCACTTTATAGATGCATACATTTTTTTTGAAATAAAAACAATATAACTAATATAATTGTATAATTGTATAAAATATCCTAGACCGACTGACTGTTTCCGCTCAGAATTGATTTTCGTATATAATGAATAATGATATTATATCACTGAATTCAAATTTAATATCATCCATTACAGTAAACTATACTGTACAACTGAGCAACATACACTTACCCGCTTTTTATAGTTCAAATTATAATATTTTAGTTTMAAGTTCAATCATTGTATTGAACGTGTAATGTGACCTAAGCAAGTTTAATGTTTTTCTTTGGTATAGGTGTTGGTTTTCCCTTTACAATATTTCCCCACAGATAACAATAAAACTACTCATAACCACCACTGATAGTGTTATGTATTATATTGTTTTAATTAAACATCTAGTTGATCAGTACCTACAAAAAAAACATTTTTCGAGAACTAAGATAACCGAATATTTTTTTCCTGACAATAGCTATTCATAAAACCTTAAAACATATACAATCCCGATACTTAAATGATTATAGTAAAAATATAGTTTAAGATAAAAGCATGCAGAAATTATGTATAGGTACATAATTGCATTTTTAATTCACTATTCCAAATCAGAAAAGTTTTTGAAGTACCTATACTTTGATGTATAAAAATTGAATTTTGAACGAATATCTAGTTTACAAATTATAAGTACTTAAAGATTTGATGAGTGGAGTAGAGTAATAYACTAATACAGGGGTACTTGCTCTGCGAAATGTTTTTCCAGCACTACTCTAAACATCTAAACTTATAAAATCTTATAACTCATAAATGAATTTATTGTCCGAAATTTGATTTTGATAGATCTAAATACTCCGTATAAAAATTATTAGTATAATAGTAATTTATTATACTACTAATTATTATTAGTAAATATACGTTGTTGTTCAAAATATTAAAAACTCAATAAAAAAAAAATTATAACGATGAAAATATTAGATTTGTAAATGTTGTATTGTGGCGGATTAAAATTATATAAAAGACACAATTTCAAAAACGTTAATGTTTTCTGAAATAGTGATAGTGTAACAAGTTAAATTTATTGATACGTRTTATAGGAAAAAGCATCTATAATAATGTTTCACAATAAATTGTATGATATGCTCTGCGCTTACCGATTCTGATCGTATCGGGTAGAGCGGATACKCGGCTCGCAAGGTGAATAATCCAAATGACGATTTTCAACTTCATATTTTTCGGCCGTGTTTGGACGGCGACCGAGTGATTAAATACAAAATATCGCTCTACAGAGCATAAAACATATCATATATATTATATGTGTGTGTGTGTCTACATACGCGAATCCACGACCACCGGACAAGTGCCCGTCGAGTGGTCCACTGAATGGCGAAAAAGAAATTCCGTTTCTCGCATCGTTCGTTTTGGGGCCCCACAACCCACATGCGCGCCGGGTCGTAATATGATCGGGCACGACCGGAGGCTGTGCGCTGAGGTCGCCGCCGCCGCCGCTGCTATGGTTTCCTTTTTAATTTTTCTTCCGTTTTATTACTTTTTGAAAACGTAACCAACCCCAACCGCACGCCCACTCCACTTCTGCAGCGGATGCTGCGACGACAAGTGCACATAATCATCGTACACACACAACAAACTCGCGGCGGTTAATCATCGTAGTTGATTTTATCGTCATTATTTTATCATAATATCTAATACAACACACTACACAACTWTATAATTAAAATGTACCTATTATTCCTACGTGTTTCATTTGCTCGTCTGAATTTAACGAATCGGCACAATCATGTCTTGTACATTTTACACGGTCACATAGTATTCCACACGGTCCAAAGAATTAACGTAATCGGGTATACGCTGATGTTATGAGCACACCATGCCTGTTTGATGCGGCATGTGCTGCCTGAGCTYAGAAGACGCTGAATATTTGCTGATATTACAATTTAATGTATATTTTTGAATACCAAACAGTTTGAGACCGCGAATTTCGAGCAAATATAGAAATTATAAAGAGTAATACGATTAGCTCATGKGGCATTTTTTAGTTTTATGATGTACAATTGTAGGTATGATACATTTTTTATAATAATTATTATAAATTAAAATTAAATAAATATAAAATATTAATTAATAAAATAAAATCATTGGGTAAAAAAGGTCATATCTATCACCCATATTTWAATAAGTTCATCATAAATGATAATAATTTCGCGATAAAATTTAGAATCAAAATTCGAACAAGTATAATTKTTTAGTTATTTAACTTTGTGTATTAAGGATAATACTAAAATATATCCATAATAATRGATTTAGAAGATGAGAGCTAAGGCGATTTAAGAATTCTACTGATTAATATTTATAAATATCAATAATATATAAAAATAACCCAAGTATAATAAATACTACATCCAATATTACATATAATTTTATATTTTTTAAACCATTTTTAAGGACTATATTATCTTTATATAAATATTTTAACAACTGAGAAATTACACGTTAGAATTTTGATTGTCGTACGCCAAAATGTTCAGGGAAATGATCGGCTAAATAGTTCACAGTAAAAAATGAAGGTTTTAATTTTAACAACAATTGTAAATTTGACACACCACAGAATACTCCTCAGTCCTGAGATAAATAATTCAAAAAATCACAATCATTTGAAAATATGATCTTTTAATATAGATATTTATATTTAAAAGTTTAAAAATTCAGATCATTTATTGATATGCATTATTGAAGGGAAAAAAGGGAAATATATTCAAAGGTTCCACAAGACGTACGAGTAGTGAGTAGATACAAGATAATAGATAAAATCAATAGATCCAAAGGTCAACATTTAGACCGTTTATTGTGGTAGAATACTGAACTGAACACTTTCCAGTCCACGCTCACGCAAAAGGTTTACATAATATAATAATGTAATAATAATAATAATAACATTTAAACTCTACTCCTGTGACCCACACGGTTTATTTATTACGTGCAGTGTGTACGATTAATCTTGCAGGAAAGTGTGCGATTTACGATCGTTTAAATTCGGATGCCACCCTAGCCTAACCCTCCAAGTGTTTTTGGAAAATGAGTTTGCGTTTTATTTATACATATATATATATAAACACATATAGGAGGCTCCTCCGGTCGGTTGCCAAGCAACTACGCTATACCGGATTATAATCGATCCAAGTAGCTAGCTACCTACTATTCGGTCACTCGTGTATACATAGCTGTAAAATAAATAATAATACACTATCGAGGTGCTACTATATAGAAAAACTCGCGTGTGTTTATTGGTTGATTATTCGCATTTGTTGTTGTTGATGAAAAATATTATTATTGTTATTATTAGGTATATGAAGTAGGCACTAGGCAGTGACATAACGTGAAACTCTGTGGCCCTAGAACCCATTTACGTCACGAAGAATTGTAGGCGAATAGGTAATTTTGTCAATTATTTGGGTATGAAAATATTTTTAAATGTACGTKTAAACTATCATCTATACCGACTATACCAGACAATATCTCGCTAATACCTACCTAACGTCCTAATATGTTGATTTTAATTCAAAGTGATAAATTAACACTAAATAATTTACTAAATAATTTTACTAATTTACTCTAGAATCTTGGTTTACAAAATAAGAAGTGGGGATTATAAACAATGTTCTATAATTTTGGGGATACGCTTTTCTTAGTTACATTAAGCCCCCTTGCCCAATCACCTCCCCCCCCCCAAGCACTCSCTCAAGCACTCCCCAATCGCCACCTATGGTCCTGACTTAATTACGTCACTGGAAKTAGGCTATAACAGCTAAGTGATTTTAACAGATATATAGGTAGGCACCAACACTTCGTGTTCCGTCGCTTAAGAACCACCGATGTTAATCTCAGCAGTAACTGATATTTGCAAATTTTCAGTGAAAACAAAAAATTGATTCGTTGCTTATACACTGCAGTCACTGCACGAAAGTTAGTATACCCATACATTTTTAGTGTATAATAAACGATGGCGGCGCTGTTGACGTAATGCGCAAGCAGTTCCGGCAGCGTCGTCGATAATAAGAAAAAAAAAAAAAAAGTATACCCATGAAATATTAATAACACTCTTAACTCTTACTATAAATTTCTAAAAATGTATTTCAACGAAAACTTCATCAGTTTGGAATTGAAATTGGGCACTGACCATGATAATATCTGATTGGCCAATGGCCACAAAAACAAACGATTCCGTATTTCTGCGTACAAGACACAATAGAGACACTTGGAGCCTGGAGGGATGACATTCTGATCTTTTCATAGCTCGATTATAGAGAGTTAATCTTAATTCTTCGGGTTTCATAATAATATAATAAATTCATGAATACGACCGCGAGTCAAGACAATTATACTCATCTATTGTATAAGCCACGGTTATCTACTGCGTCAGGTCTATAAAMAAACGATACACCTATTAATAGTTAATAGGTATATGAAGCATACCTATCTTTATATTCCATGAATTCTTAACTCTTATCACGCTTCATGACGTAAACACTTGTGATTAGTACTATCACAGAATTCTGTGATACTCACTGGTCAACATAAGAATATATATTCTTATCTATCTCAGTGGTGATACTATTTTAAATCATGCCACGATTGTAACTAAGCACTACATTGGGAAGACGTTGCATCTGCGTGATGTGTTGTCTCCATCTTACAAACGTACCAGACACACYATTTTTCCGTTCGCTAGTTTCAAGTTTCAATCTTAGTCCTTAGATCATATACTAGTAACTAGTATATACTAGTATATGATCTAAGGTAGTAAGGTTTCATTAGGGTGCTGTCAGAGTTGATATTAGAGTGAATCGACCTATTATAWAACTTTTAGGTAAGAAAATTATCTGTTTTTTACGATATTTTAATTTTTAAGTGAGTCGTGAGTGTACAAAATATAAAATATTGCATAAACTATACTCGTGAAAATTGCTTCTGTAGCAGACTCGGAGTGTATCTGTAATGAGTGATATCATATTAATAAGTGATAATAAATTATACATTTTAACTGTTAAGAAAATGTTTAAATTCTAAATTTCTATTATTCCTTAATATTAATAATACATAACACGACATAATATGTCTCGTTATTATAGTACCATGGCTTAGTAAAACAATATTATTAAGTATGTCTTAATTCAAGAAATCATATGAAAACGATAAGTACTTTCTCGCGTAGACGTGCAATGTCTTTCATAATATTAAATATTAATGAATAATGTTTTACTTTTAATAACCGTTGTATAAAATTATATAATTAGATTTTTCACAGGTAAAATATGAAATATTATAAACAATTTGTAGCATAATATAAATATATCTGTATACATTTTATTTTATTGCTTATAAATCTTTTGGTTCTTCTTTAATTATTCTCTATCTAGTATTGACATCTGTTTGTCATTTATTAGATTATATAATTTTTTTTCTATATTATTATTTTTGGTATTTTTATCAGATTTCAGCCTTACATTTATACCATCAATACAGTCTTTAAAACTCTGTAAAATTTCTTTTTTTAAATCTTGATTGTTCCTGTTTTTTTTT